ACACACACACACACACACACACACACACACACACGCACACACACACACACGCAGTTATCTAATAAGATAAACACACAACACCCCAACTGCTCCCTGCTTGTTGTTTGATGGTTTCTAATTTACCTTAACATTGTTGCTAATTTGTTAAGCATGTCTGCCTTTTACTGTATGATATAGCATAGCTCGCGGACGTTCGTTGTTTAAGGGCACAGTGTGTAAAAAAATGTAGATTTTTCAATGTTCATTATTTCAAAACCCACTGATTATTTCAATAATGTGCACAAAAATATCTTCTACAACAAAAAACATTTTTTTTATGTAATTGTAGGTGAATTAATCAATTACATAGGATGCGCTTTCCCTACACAAGGCTGCCATGTTTTGCCACCATCTTTCTGCTACGGATATCCGAAGGAGACAAACTTAGTGAACAGGAGGTCATTTTTCCAGTACTGTAAATGATGGTCAAATTCCAATTTCTCCAGAGGCGTTTGACTTCAGAGGTTCCACTGTAGTTTATTGATGAAACGTTGCAGTTTGGTTCTAAGGTTGCTCTAAGACAAAGCGATATTGCATGTATTCAATCTTTTTTCCTCCCTTTTCAGTGAATTTATTGGAGAGGATGGCAATGAGAAATTCTGGCAATTTGTTGACACTGTGAAAGAGCTCACCGTCTACAAGCAAGGAGGTATATGAGCTTGAATCATTTACCTCCCTTTACATCATATTTCACTTCTAATTGATCACTTTCTGATCCATGGCAGAGTCTGTCCGCTCATACTACAGCCTTATCATTAAAAAGGCCAACCAGTTCCTCACAGAGCTACAAGTGAACTTGCTGAAATTCGCTCTTGCGCTGCGGTTCTACTCGCCAGCTGTTCACGCCTTCCAGCAGGTACGGTGTGATCACAAATTATAAATGTGTGAAATCTAAAACATTTTGATGATATGTCTTTGGGAGCCACATAAATTATTGCAGAATTATTCATGCCAGAGATAAATATACCCACACCATTTGTATGACAAGTATGGTGAACTACATATTTTTTGAGCAATTTTTTTGTATGCAGCCCTGAATTCATAACCCGGACCCACTTTCTTCTTTGCTTACAATTGCTTTGGCACTGCTGCGTCGTTATTTTCAAAAACACTGGGTGAAGTATTTGACTTGAAATTGAATTGTTCAGTGATTATCTTGAATGATGCTGCAGTATTACTTCCAGTGCTCGCAGGCTTTTCGGTGCCCCACACATCATGTAAAATGGTATGATAAACCATCCTTGGTTTATCATACCATTTCATACATAAGTATGCCTGATGTATAAATTCATTATGCATTGCCATAGCATCAACATTTTTTGTACCTGTACACACAGGCAAGAGATTAATAGCCAATTAGTCAATGAATTGATTGTTTAGAATTGTCCCTGTTGTGTGTGCAGTTTGCATGCTATAGTTCTACATTCAGATATAAATAAATATAAACGACTACAATGCATTAACGTAATCCAAAAAGACACAAGAGACCGCGTTGTTCATGTCTCATGTCAAAGTGTAGCCGTTACTCCACAGATCGCCAGCGATGAGCCGCCGCCTGAAGCTTGTCCAGCTTTTGTCTCCATTCACGGCCAACACAGCTGCAGTACAAAGAACATCAAGAAGCTTCTTAAAGCGGCCGCAGGCAGGTAAATCCAAGTGACACCGTCAACCCCATATGGCTCTCCCTCCACAGCAGACCGGTGCAGAAAAGTTTCCCAAGTTAATTTGATATTGGAAATCTTTGACACTGCCTCAGAGTTCACATTTGCCCTTGGAAGAATGAAATGTAATTTTCTGTGGTGCTTTTTTCAAACACTTGCAGACCCCATCCGTATTTGTACAAGAACGATCACATATATCCTGGGGCTAATAAAACAGACGTCCCAGTCGTGATCCTGTATGCTGAGATCGGAACCAAGAAGTTCACAACCTTTCATACCGTTCTGTCAGAGAAAGCTGAAGCGGGGGCTCTCACATATATACTGCGTCATTTTGTGGCGGTAAGTAGCCCGGACATGGAATATATGAAAGCTCTTCACTTATTTATGTTATTTGCTGCTTGTGATCTTTGGATCAAAACCAAAACAATGATTCAGTAGGTTTATTTCCCTCCCAAAATTCGAATTGTGTTATTACTCTGTGTTGAAGTGTCCAGCATACGTCTCAAAGTAGGACGTAGGACGTAGTTGTGTGATCCCAACAGGAAGAAATTGTTTACTAAATATTCTTGAAATAAATTCCTGTATTTCACAAAGATCTAACAGAAAACCACAGCCATAAAGGTTTATTATGCAAATAAATACACATACATCAAATATTAGATTCAAAGATTGTAGATTTGTGTTGTCATGGTAAAGTGAAGTGACATCATCTGTACGAAAATCGACTGGTTCCGCCTCCTTAGCCAGCCATTGCATTCCACCAGTCTCTGCAGAGATCCAATTGAAAACAGGAGCACTCACTCTCTCTTTCTCACACACACACACACACACACACACACACACACACACACACACACACACACACACACACACACACACACACCACCACAC